GGGCGGGGGGGGGGCCGGGGGCGGCGGCTTTTCGTGGGTTATTTGGGGGGCCGGGCCCCGGGCCCTTCCCGGGGGCCTTTTTTTCGGGGTTCCCCGGGGTCCGGGGGTTAACCCGGGCCTGGGGGGACCCCCCCCCCCTTTCCCCTTCTTTTTTTTGGGGGGAGGGGAAAAAGAAGTTAGTTTGGGCGGAGACGTTTTCCCCCTTTTTTTTTTTTTTTTCTTCAAATGTTGTTGTTGTTGCTGCTTGTGGTGGTTGTGGGACCTTCAAAAATTTGAAAGGTTTCCCCTTCCCCTTTGTTGTGGTTTCTTCCCCGGCCCCCTTTTGGTTTCCAGGGGTTCAGGTACCCCGGGGGGGGGGGGGGGGCAGGCAGGCAAGCGGGCCGATCGCGTACATGAAAAAGAGTTCACTTGAGAGGGGCAGTGCCTACCGTAGGTTGTTTCATGATGTAAGATACCACACCCCCTGGACCGATCCTCAAAGCTCGATTACTCTGCAACCAAAAACAGTGGCGGTGTCAAAAACGGGCACGTCGGAACCGTCATTTACTGAGACATAAAAAAGCAACAGCGGTTAGGCCGTGACACTATTTACAAGCACCCACGGGGAGCAAAACCCCCCCGACATTTTCACTCGCGTACAACAATCCATTCTCCACTCACAAGCCCGGCGCCGCTCTTCCTCCTCCACGTCCGGCTCGCCGGCCCAACAAACGCCCCCGCGGGCGGAGACCCCGGGGGTGAGGCCGCCGACCTGCCCCCCCCCCCTCGCGCGGTGTTGACAATCAGAGACGCAGACGAAAAACGCCGCGCCCTCTCCGATGCTGGCGCCGGCGGCGCACGCTTGATGCTGCTGCTGCTGCTGTTGTCCGCCCTGCCGCCCACCGACGACGACGACCGCTCCTTCGGCCCCCTCGCTAGCAGCGGCGCCGTTGTCGGGGTCGCCGGGGGTGCGGACGGCGGCCGGCCTACCCCCACCGACGCCGCCCTTCTCGACGGCGGGACCATAATCAACGGGGCCGGGGTGCCCGGCGGTGCCGGGGACCACCCGCGGCCGGCCGCCCTCGCCGCCAGCAGGGACGCCGGAGGGGGAGCAGGACCGCAGCCGTCGAGGAAGACCTCGAGCGTGCCGACCAGCGCGTCGTAGGCCTCGGGGGTGACTTCTGTGGCCTCTGACCTTCGCTCGTTCAGCACCTGCGTTTGGGCAAAAAAATAGGAAGGGGGTGGCACAGTTACCGCAGAGTGTTGGGGTGGAATAGCTGTAGACAGCTATGCGCGGGAATCGCCTAAATCAGTAGCATGCAGTATCGCGCCCGAACAAGTTGTAGGGAAGTGTTGCACCAAATTGCTCTTGCGTGCCGTGCCATATGCATAGCACAGCCGACAGTGGCATGGTTCTGCCTATTTCGACGTCCAACAGAACACTACGTGAAACTTGGCCGCTGAGAACATGGCAGGCTATTGTCCGCCATCGGGCGCAGCTGCATGCCACCGCCACATACTAGCGTCCAGGTTAATACTTCAAAACCCTCCAGTTGTCCAACAGAACAGCCAAAAAAATCTATTAGAGGGAGATCAACGGGTGATCAAACGTCTTCCACGGGCAGAGGCACTCTACGTATGGTATCTGACCCCGCATGTATCCCGCGATTTTCAACCCCTCCCCACTATGTACACCAACCAGAACCATACGTTCTCGACATTCGACAATCAGCAGTTCCGAAGGTTGGAGCTATACGAAAGTGTGAACAAACAACGACTGGGAGGGAACATCAGCTCTGCTTGTGCGCTGCGCAACAACGTAGAAACGGGCTTGGCTTGGCGCGCACCTGTAGGAACCGAGACCTCCCGCTCTCCGACCGCACGAGGACCTCGAGCTCCTTCCTCGCCTGTTCCGCCGTCACCTCGCCACCGACAACCACAAACCCTTCGTCTCCCTCCGCCTGCCCTTCCACTCCCAGCACGGGCTCGGGGACGACGCCGGCGGCCGCGGCAGCGCCAGCTGCAGCATCCCGATCCTCTTCCCTCCTCGCGGTCGAGTGTGCTCTTGGACTGCCGCCGCCGGATGCTCCGGCCGCCCGCGCCGCTGCTGCGGCGGCGATGACGTCGCCATCTGCTGCAGTCTTGCTGCTGTGGCGACGATCTCTTCGCCGCCCGCCGCCACCCCCGCCGCCGCCGCTGTCGCTCTCCTCCTCGTCGTCGTCTTCGTCGTCGCCCAAGATAAACCCCTTCCGCCCGGTGACTTGTCCCCCCCCGACCCACGTCTTCATCGTCGGGGATCGCGGGCTCGACGCCACCGCGGTTGCCGGAAACGCCACCGCCGCCGCCGCCGCCGCCACCGCCTCCTCGTCCCGCTTCTTGTCAGGGATCAACCCGCGCAGGAGGGCATCGATCCGCGCCGCCTCGTCCCTCTCCCTGCGCCGCGCTTCCTCCGACGTCGCGCCCGCATCCTCGTCTGCGCCTACGGCGTGATCTCCGTCATCGCCACCGCCGACGACGCTGCCGGTGGCGCTATGGCGGTCGTCGTGCAGCGAGCTCTCGATGGCGCCACGGCTCAGGCGCGCGCTATCCACGCCGCTGAAGTCGACCATCTCCTGGGAGGCGTGGAGCTCGTCGCCATCGTCGGACCCCCTCTGCCCGAACACCGTCGCCGCCTCCGCCGCGGCCGGCATCGAAGGCAGGGCCCGCATCCTCCCGTCGCTCAGCGGCGTCGCCACGGGGAGGGTGGTCGCACTCACGCCGCCGTTGCCGTTGACAACGCTGCCGCCGTGGACACTGCTGCCGTTGATGACGCTGCCGTCCCCGCCGCCGGTGATGCTGCCGCTGCGGGCGTGCCGCGAGTTGTTTCCGCCCGTCCCCCAATCACCCCCGCCGTCCCCGACTCCCCCGCTGCCAGAGGCGCGTTTCTGCGGCTCTTGGTCCGAGATGCCCGCCCAGTCGAGGAGGGACAGCGCCACGCGGTAGAGCGGCACGTGGTCCATGGACCTCCTCTTGTCGATGAACTTATCCACGTCGCCCCCGGGGTCGAAGTCAGCGAACACCTGCGCGCGGTGGTGTGCGAGATAGCGTACGGTATCAACCGGCACGTTCTGAAGACAATCAAGAAATCAACGGCGATTGGAGTGCCACTTTGACGACGAGAGCAAGGCGTTGGAGACCAAGCAGGCGGAGCCACGGGGGCAGGGGGAGGGGGGAGGGGGACGGTGCAGCCCACCGGGTCCCTTGAAACGAGACAATACACACTATTCTCACACAAACCATCACACCAAAGGAAGTAATTGTTCGCGCTATTTCCGGAACACAATTGCAGCATCCCATAGAACACGAAAACACCAACACACATCACTACGGGGCAGACGAGCTTGTGGAACCACCCAGAGCCCAAAGTCACGGGTTGCACAGATAGTACATGACCAACCGGCCACGCGATCGCCTCGCCTCGCCCACAAACCACCAGCATGCATCGCGCAATCACCTTGGTCACGGCCTCGAGTTCCCTCATCTGCCCCGCGTAGAATTCCGACTGCACCGATGCGAAGATAGTCATAGCCCTGGCGATGGTAGCGGACCGCTCTCTCTCGGCCATCTCGAAGCTCCTGGCCGCGCTCGTGACGGCGTCGTCGCGGGCTTGTATCGCCTGCCCGTTCGTTGGGGTGGGCGGAGACGTGGTGATTCGGTATTCGGGGGCGTTAGTCATGTTTTCGCATGCCTTACAAGCGCTTAGCACCATTGACCACGCGTCGTCCTCGAGAGGATGGAGCGTTGTTCCCACAAGACCCATCGCCAATCGTTCCTTACTCCTTTGCCAAGGATATTCGTGCGGGGGGGGGGGGGGGGGGGTAACCCAAATCCTTCCATCCCTAATCCTTAAAACCATTAACCCCCATCCCCAAAAAACCCGGAAAGAACACCCCCGGTTTTCCCCCGAACAAGCTCCCCCAATACCAAACCCCAAAAACCTTAAGTATTTTGCCAATCCCAAAAAAGGGTAACCTCCTCCCTCTAAAGGTTTTCCGCAACTTTTTCTTTATTTCTTTTCTAACGAATAAAACCACCTATAAATTAATTTTTTTTTTCGGGCTTTTTCTTCCAAAAAAAATTTTAAACCCTTTTTTTTTTCCCCCAAAGTGCTTTAACAAAAATAAAAAAAACTGGTGCCAACCTCCCCCCTTTCCCCGAAATAAAGTTTCCCCCCCCCCCCAAAATTATTCTATCCACCACCAAAAATGTTACCCCCCAAAAAAAAAACCAAGTAAAAAAAAAAAAACGGAACCCTGTTTCCCAATTTAACAAATTAAATTTCTTTTTTTAAAAACCCCTTTCCCAATTAACAAAAACCCAACCCCAATGCAAAAAACCAAACCCGGGGGGGGGGGGA